CGTGCCAGGGGCCCCGCAATAACCCCAGCTAGCTCCCTCCCTTGAAGCTGACGCATCATGTTCCACTTTGTTGCTCCATATGCAGGGCTGGAGATCAGAATCAAGCCCTTTGAAACGCACATAAAAGGAAGCAAGTCAGCCCTGTGTAATTTTAACAGGCTGCAAACTTTTCTATAGTGGGTGCATCACATGTACTATTTTCCAAAAACTAGTTTTCTCATAGTTTATCCTGTGCGTAGACAAAAGTGAGTGAGTAACTTTGTGACAAAAATAGGAATTGGAAACCAATGATGTATTTATAATTTGAACTATGGACAAGAGGTTGTCTAATGATGACGTGAGTAATTAGTACCAGAGCACCGACCGTCTGAGTCATGACTGCAGTGTGATCCCTAGTGTTCATTGTGGTGTTGGGAATTAATGAGCTGCTGGATAAGGTTATGGTCCTTCGTTTATACGAGACTGTGATTGTGACTGTGTAGCTGGCAAAGGGTTTCTCCGTTTCCCTTGGTGACATTAGCACAGACTTGGTTTTGACATCCATGCCAGAGCATGCTGCCTCTGCCTGCTGATTAAAATACACTTGCGCTGATCCAACAGGATAGGTGTCCATATTTTAACCTGCTTTTTCCTAAAGAACTTAAGGAAGATTAAAAAAGGGGACAGGAGAGGCAGGGGAAAAGTTTATTGTATCTGGACTCGGTGGCTAAATACAGGCAGTCAAAAAGCCCAAGGCTGAATTGATTCAATCTTTGCAGGTTGGTCTAAGCTGTGTAGATTGAATTGATAAGCAAGTGAACAGACTTTCACTTTTGATTCTGGAAATGCAGCCACATGCCTGCATTGCCCCAGGCCAGAAGTTGTGGGGTGCTAGAGCATGCCTCCCTGCTCAGCTGGAGCAGACAACTTCAGCCAGCTAGCCGACCCATCCTGGGGGGGTGCGCAGGGGTTGTGGGGGAGGTGCAAAGCATCCTGGGATGTTGGGGGACTGTGGGTTAACTTGAATCTGGAGGGCATCTGGGATGGAAGTTCAATAAACCCATTTACCCTAAACCAGTTAAGTCTGCTACTACTTCCATCCAGGTTTATTTTAAACTGGTTTCACCCATTTTGAAAGCAGTTTATGTGCATGAATCTTCTGTTGTGTTACAGATCAGATCTGGTTTCCGATCACTTTTCCCAGTTTATATGTAATTGCTGCCCCAAGCCCATGAGGACAGGCACAAAGCGCTGCCATGTGATTGACTGCCAAGTGCAGCAGGACCAAGAGCAAAGGCTTTGTGTGGTGTTTAGTAAAAGTGACTTCGCAGCCATCACTGGCCGTCAGTAACTGGAGTATACAGCTTTATGCACAATGACATACAAATTCATGATAAGAAAGCCACATTAAACCCTATTGCAATGAAACGAAGCTGCACTTCAGTTGATCAGGAAAGATGAAATTTTTGGACAATGGACAAGGCCAGTCAGTCACTGAGGTACTACCACTGGCTGGGTAGGAGGCTTTCCTGCACCTTGTGCAAGTGGGCCCTGATCCTCACTGGGGGGTTGGGTATAAAACAAATAGAAATGTGTTGTTCCATTGGTCAAATTCTCCTGCCATTTACATGGATGCAGCCCCATTGATTTTGTTGCTGCTGAGGAAAGGAATGGACTCGTGTTGCTTCTGGGAACACAACTATCCTCAAATTGCCCTTTGAGTCATGAAGGGAGGCAGGACTTTGTGAACAAAGTAAAAGAGCACTAGGAAATCGGTGTAGCTGTGTACCTGAGAGCCCTGAGATTTATATAAAAGCATCAAAGCACAGGTTTTAGGTGAGGTGCCACCACCTTTTGCACCTGCTCATATACTTCACCAATAATTCAATTTTTGGTTGAGCTCCACTTTGCTGGGGTTTCTGGTCTATGCCATGAAATCATGCAACCATAAAGGTCCCAACTGGTGTGATTGCAAGTGGGTGCTTATTGAGTCGGTGACTCCTTCATCTGGAAGAACTGACAGCTGTGGATAGCGCATACAGTGAAACTGGGATGCCAGTTAGTTCATTTTCTTCCTATATCATTGTCCTCTCGCTTTGTGCATGGGACATGGCCCCAGGTGTTTGATGGCAGAACTGGCTGGTGGTTTCTGAAGACCATGTCTTCTGCTTTTACTCATCAGTCACTGAACTGATGGCTTAATTTCTCTCAAATAAGAAGCAAAGTATGTTTGTTAACTGGGCAGCAGGTGTTTTAATTGGTTCATCTGTCTGACTCCACAGGAGCGTCTCCTGCTCTCCGTACTTCCTCGTCACGTTGCCATGGAGATGAAAGCTGACATTAATGCCAAACAGGAGGATATGATGTTTCATAAGATCTACATCCAGAAGCACGACAATGTCAGGTAAGAGCGGCAGCCTGCATCCTGCCTGGCAAAAGAAGAGAGGGCCATACCAAGCCCTGGCCCTTACTATCAAAGAAGGGGAATGGCACAGATGGATAATCCAAGATCAATAATGGCTAAAATCTGTTGCATTTTTTTTTTTAAAGAGCAGCACCAGCAAACGCATGTGAGTTTTATTTGCGTCATGGGGAGGCAGCATCCTCTGCATCTGTGTTGCCTTCATTTTGAGAAGTTGTTTCTAAAATATCCCTCCTCCATGAACTTTTCCTAGAATCCTTCAAGTATTTTAGGAAGAAGCAGGGGAGTCATGTAGCTTTGCTTTATTAATGATTTAAAAAAAAAAAAAAAAAAAAAAAAAAAAAAAA